AAATTATTTTATTGCTCACGAAACAAACAACCACTCATAATTAGAAAATTAAGTCTCATTTAAATATTGGCCTCCCTTCAATGGTCGAGCCATTGATGCCAGCTAAAACACACAAATATTTAACAAAAATAATATTAAAGTAGCCAAGATATAGCCAAATATTGTAATACCACATCACTAGCGGACATTTGAAATTTGCCGACTAGAACGGTCAGTTAACTGATGTGACAGTTAATCAGGGGTCGGATAATCGATGCTCTACTGTATTTATATTATTGTATAATTTTTATTATATTATAATATTACATTGTAAATACATATATTACAACTCATATAAAGTTAAACATGACAAAATTTTAATAGATAACAATATTTAATTTACAAATAACAAAAATCCTCTTTTTCTTCTAATATCAAAAAAATTTATTATGATGATAAAATAAAAACTATTAGAGATAAACTAATTGTACTTAATAAAAGAAAAAGACAGATTTGTGGGAAAAATTAATTGGAGTGGAAATACAACATTTTCTTCTGTTTGAAAACACTTGTTCAGTCAAAACCAAATAATGACAATTGTCTTACAAGATATACATTTTCTTAACCTGATTTCTTTTTACTTATTTTTTTCTTTCAAATTATCTAAACTAGAAGTCTACCATTAACTCAAACTCAAAATTTTTAATTCAGTTTCAACAGTGTTTAGAAATCTCTCTTTCTCTCACAAACCTCTGCCATTAAATTTCTTTTCCTTTGTTCTCAAGGCCTGTAGGTCTAGCTTTCCTTTGCCTTCTAAGTACTTCTTTTTCTAGCTCATCTTTATTGGCCAAAGGCTAAAATTCAATTTCTCTCTTAATCATTCTTTAAACTTTCTCTTTACTTTTACTCATATGATTTTTTTCTGTAAGCACTCAATTTTAGTTTCAATTATACAATAGTTGTTTGAAACTTCTATTATCGTACATATACATATACTTAACACCTTATTCTTGCCGAGAAATATAATTTATTTGAAACAAACAAACGTTTTCAGCCTGATTCACAGGCCATCTTCAGGTTTAGAATACATTTGAATTAAAATTCCATCAATGGAATACAAAATTCAAATTCAAAATTAAATACGGTACAATTAAAACAAAATATTAAATAACCAACATAAAACAAAAAAACCAAAATATAAAAAACAAAAAATATATAAAACTGCAACAAATGAATATATAAGTATTAATAAATGCAATTACTAAGACATTCAATAAAACTACTATATTGATTGGTTAGAGCCTTTATCAAACTTCTTAACCATAAACTTCCATGCAGAGGGAAGACTTTCTGCGTCCCTCGCATTCAGACAGCCTTCTTGTAATCTACTCCGATAAATCTGCAACTTTTCCGCTGTCAACGCCAAAGATGGAGAAGATAAAGGATGTCATCTATTCCGTTAAATTCTATAAAACGCGTGTTCATTATTTAATCCAATGCATTTTCGAAAGGTTTTCCTTGTCTGAATTTATTCTTTTATTTATTCTTCTAATTTAATTTCTATTCAATATGTAACCGATTCAGACACCGTTATTTTCTAGGAATAATCACATTCATAAATTCTCAAATATACTATTCAATCAACCACTCTATTTCCATTGGAAATAGATATCGGAAATTATAATATTTACTTCCTCGGTAGACATTATTATTTCATAAAAGCTAAACAAAGCACAAACACATTTTAATACCCCAAGAAAATTTTTCAATATTCAAATCGTCATTCTTTATTTCCATAATAAAATAATTTTTTTTTATTTAAAAAAACTCTTTGTTTTTTTAATTCTGAACTGGGTTCATATTACATTAAATATTATTGATTCGGATCAATATGCGTATAGTTTTCGCTTTCTTTTCAGAGACTTTTTCCAACACCACCATCGATGAATGAATTTCGCAATGAGCAACAAGAGAATTCCGGCTATTGTACCCAAAAATGCATACCCATTAAAAGGTATACCGCCAATTATCGGGCATATAATACCAGATATACGTTTTGAGATTGAATAACGAGTGGATTTCTGGACATCGAAGGGAAGATTGCCAAAATACTCGAAAATTGCACGTAATCCCCATTCAGATTTTCTTTTTTTACAACATAAACGGTCGTATATAGTTTGCATGAAGGTACGTTCTAGAAAAGTAATCAAATTAAATTAAATAAACTGTTTGAAGTAACTTTAGAAAATCACAAATATAATCACTTACCATCGGGGAAATAATCTTGCATAAATTCATTTATTAAATTACATTCTCGCTTGTTGAAATCATAGGTTATCAAGCAAGACAGCCACGAATCGTTGTCATCAGAACAAAATGTTCCCTCGAAGTAGTTTTCGACTTTAAGTTTGAGGCAACCCCAAAATCCCACTCTGCCTCTTTCAAATATTCTTGCGCAGGCAGGTTCACCTAATTGTGAGAATTTATAAGTCAAAACCTTTTTCTATCCAGAATTATTATAGTAACATAATGTACAGTACTTACTGCGAATAATAAGAGATTTTAAACCGTATCCAGTTATTACTATTAGACAGGCGATAGTGAATATCCCTTTAAAAAGCATTCTGAACCTTCTCTAGTTGTTAAAATGCAAGAATTTATCGTAAACAATAGCTTTTATATTGTTTTGATCTTTACAATTAAATTGATTATTGTTAGGTAAATACGTTTACCTAACAATATTATTCTTTAACGTAATTAGTATCCGTAACAGAAAATACGTAAGTAGCAGACAATTGCCAAGTCAGCCCCCGAAAATACTTTTGGATTCATACACAATATTCATGGTTATCCTGGGGCTAGACGGGTACCCCATCTGGCCACCAACGTACACTTTTCATACTGACTGCAAACACGGGTCAATTTCATTTCAAAACTAAACAATTACAGTCTTAAAGGTTACTTCGAATACCATAATATCTTCGTGTAAAAGATAATGTAAAAGTTCACAATGATACTTACTTTGTAGAAACTTTTTAGCAGGTGTAAAATTAGATGAAGTATTGTTGAAACATAAAAAAACTTGTCTTACTTCCAAACAAAGGAAGAGATTTGGACGTTCTCTCTCTGTATGATCTCATTCGAGGTAGACATTTAGTTCCCCAAATAAAAGCTAGATAAAAGCACATTACCACAAATAAACAGATGTCTTCGTCTTACCCCATGACCCTATCTCGCACCACCTTCCTCTATATAGAAGTAGGCTACATGAAAATGTTTAAATGCGAGAGATGCTGAGAGCCTGTCATCCGCGTGGAAGTACAGTACACGGTTAGAAAGTTCACTAAAAACTCGTACTAGAATTATTGGAAAATTTATGGCATTTTATTTTCTTTTAGTTTTATTTTGTGTTAATTTTAATTGTTCTTCCGTTTTTCTTGTATAATTAAAAAAATTTTTTTGTTTTAAATTTTGATTTAAATGTTTCTATTGTATGCATGGGACATATCTGTTCTATTTCTGTTTTTTGACCTGAAGATAACCTGTTAAGCAGACTGAAAACGTTTGTTTGTTTCAAATATATATTTCTCGGCAACAAATTAAGGTGTTTTGTTTTTATGAATTTATTTGCTGAGCATTTTTAATATTGTTGTTGTAAAGAACTAAAGAGCAATCCGTCAAGTCCTCTACAAACTATTGCTTGGTAATTTCTTTAGAAAGTGACGAAAATAACGGTCGCGATTATCGTCTATTTCCGACGAAAGGTATAACGTAAAGTCGATAATTGATCATTAAACGATTGGAAACTCTACGATGCCCGAACGAATCTCGTTCGATGTCTCCTTTCACCACATTGCTGTGAAATAGCTTGCTTTGCTCCTAGCTTCAGAACAAACTCTGTATTAAGAAAACGAGTTTTGATCGCTGGCATCGTACATGCCAGGGAACAACGGTGATTCCGTTCAAGTTTTGTTCGTGCGCGCAAAATGCGCCAAGTTGTACGAACCGAGATATGCTGCTGTTTCACACATCTCGATCTTGATTGTGATTGCTCTAATTTCTAAAGGTGACCGAGAGTGTTACATTTTCTCGAATGCAAGTGTAACGTCCGTTACTCTAATTACCTAATAAGAATCATAGAAATATGACATCTATGATATACTGATACTATTTTCTTATCTAATTCTTCCAAAATACAGTATTAACAGTTCCTGAGATGCTTACAATAAGAACACCCTTTTTCACAGAAAACAAAAGCCCAACATGTTTAAATTCCACTGAAAAGTGACAAAAAATGCTTCACATGAAAAAATAAACGATCCGAAAATTTACGGAATGTGGCAATATATTCAAAATGAAAACATTGCACACAATTTTAAAACTATTAACAATTTTATTCGGATACCTTAAATACATCGTGTTTACTGTCACTAAATATTGCAATTTAAGCAGGGTTGTGGAGTCGGAGTCGAAGTCGTGGAGTTTTGGTGTTTTAACCGGAGTCGGAGTCGTCAAAAAATTTGCCGACTCCGACTCCTTTTTACTTACCTACTTGTTATGTATATAAAACGGAAAAGTATTGCAATCGTGTCAAATTTGACCCTCCAAGTTTTTTGTTGCAAATCTACCCGTTTGGAGACCTCCCGAACACCTCAAAAAGTCAGTTAAGGGAAAAGATTCGCGCGCGCGTGTGTGTTGGCGTCTAATTTCTTTAATTTCTTTATTTTCTGTTCTGAGATATTAAACAATATCTTAGAATGGGTAAAGTTTAAGAAACGAAATGTGGCACTGTGGCTTGCGTATAAAGACGCACTAATACTGTTAAATTTTGGTACTTAATTAAAGGTCGACATGGTAAAGACCTAAATGTGGTCACGTGTCATATCTCTTAATGAATATTTTACTCTTTACTAGCATTCAAAATTAAAAAAAATAAAATAGAATAAAACTCGTCTCTACCCTCAAAGTAAGCTTTTTAGCCATTTTATAATAGTACAGTAAAACCCATTAAGATATTCTCGCCTGAGATGTTAGAACTTATATGGGGACACGATTTAGTTCAACCACTTTGACGCTTAATAACTAACTCGTGTTAAACAATCTGACTCCGATTCTGACCACTCTGACCACAGAAATTATTAGGCTTCAAACAGGATGAACAAAATCATGCTCCCCACACAGTATAACTTCCACACATATAAAAAAAACACTAAAATCTTTTGAATGTCTCGAAATTTCTATGTGTCCCGAGTCCAAAAATGTAAAAATTTGAAAGGGTCATTTTTTTAGCGAGCGCTACACTTTTCCTCTGTTATATATAACAGCCAGAAAAGTAAAAATTATCGAATACATATTAATATATTAGAGAAGTCTTTAGGCTTTGGAATAAAAAGATTTTACGCTCTATCTTTATTAGAACTCTATTTATTGAATCTTTTATTCTGAGGTCACGGTGATGACATCAGAATTTCAGGGTTTCTTTCCGTAACAAGTCCGCCTCTAGTCGGAGTCGGAGTCGGTAGATTTTTACGCGACTCCACAGCCCTAAATTTAAGTCAAATTTTGTATCATTAAATTCAGCTTATCAGTGTCATTGGCTGAAAAACAGACTTTGGTCTGTTCGAAACCATTTATCGTTTTCAGAGTACCGAAGAAACTAAAAGTTGCTTTTATTATCTGAAATGTAGAATTCGATTAGATTTAACAACTTTCCATTTATTTAAAAGTTACGTATGAAAATAACAAAAAATGTTTTACCTTGTAAGCAAATTCCTTAGTAATTATGAAATCCAGAACTTCTACTCCCAGTTGTCTGGATCCCAATCTCTTTAGAAAGCACAAAAGCTGTAAATATAATAATATTGTTGTCGTGTATCAGGTGTGATCAACACTTAATACTACTGTCAAATAGAATAAAATGTTCTGTTGAATTCTTACTTACACGCATTTTATCGATGAATGCCAAATTCATAGAGTCAAAGTACCTAGTCTCTTCCAGACAGTTCCTAGACTAATAATAGTAAAATAGAATCTTATAACTAACTTCCTTATATCGTATCAAACCTCAAAAACATATAGC